CCCCAAAACCCCAAAACCCCAAAACCCCATCAATATTGAATAGATATTAAATAAAAGGAGTACTAATGAATTTTATATTTATATTTCAAATAAACTAATTCTTAAATATAAATTGTGGTATTTATCAAGTCTCAAAATTTCTGTATATATATTTTATAACTCTTATGCATTAACTTTGCCAGAATCAAAACCATGATTATGAAATCAGATTCTCTATTCTTCTTGATTACATAATGTTTTTAATTCGGGGTCTTGGTATTCAAATATATGATCATATATTAGCCACTCCTAACTCAACTTTTTTATTTTCTTCTGAATCTCTTAATGGTTAAACTAGCATAAACCTATTCTTTATAAGAAGTTTATTGCTAAGTCCGAACTCAAATGATAAGCTGTTGCTGTCGATGATTGAAATTTGCACTTAGTTATGACAAAATTCTCAAACGGCATTGTGCAAGCAATATCAGTAAAGTGAGTGTGGCTTGAATTTTTCATGATAATGTGTTCAAGTTTAGGGTTCTTAGTACTTTCAATAAATTATTTCAGCGTACTTCGTGCACCATACCACTATTCGCATATACCAGTAAATGTTTCAGAGGACAAGATAAAAATTGGAACTTTGACAGAGTATGTTTATTCAAGAATAGGTTATTGCTTAACAAAGAGCCAGGGATCTAGAGTTAAAAGAGCTTTGATCCTTTCATCTATTTATGAGGTCTCAATGATGTCATTGCCCCGAACGAGTGTCCAGCAGCAATTAATTTAGAAGCATCAATTCTAATATTTCCTTCAAACCTTAGTTCATTATTTACTAGGGAATCTGAGTCGCATATTTAGTCGATTAAAGCAATCATCTCTTGTTTTCTGATCTCGAGTTATTTTGTTCTTTGTTAGAGATCATGTGAATGCCACGAGTTATTATAATAAATTTCTTTTCCATCAGCACCTTCAGTATAATGAGAAGTCTCATCTCTATGATCAATGGCAAACACAATGTATCCGTGACTGGCTAAGTTTCTATATGTTGCACTATTCCAATTACGATTGCTGCTTAATCCATGACTAAAAATAATGGGAATTAGTGGCTTGCACAAATCATTATTTAAATTTCCATTTTAATCTGCAATCTTAATGATAAAATCAGATGCCACCTCAGCATTCTCAACAACATCCATTTTAATGAACTGTTGATATTTTAGCATAAATAGCGGCAGTCTGACTTGCCTTCCCATGTTTTTAGCACTTGCATTTCCAAGTCCTTTCAGATTTTTTTCTCCGTGTCTTTATTAGAATGCATTATTATATTTTATTTGGGAGTAGTAAACATCTTTATCAACTGGGTAGAAAACAGAGACTTCATTATCTAGGACCTTAGTCCTAAATTCCTTATAGCCCACTTCATAGGGTCCCTGAACTTAAAATCTGCTGAAGTCACACTCGCCTTTAACATACATCAAGAAGCATGAGAGTCCACTTCCTATTAAGAGAATTATATCCACCAACAGAGAAGTTAGAAATTCTCTATACAACAATATGTGCAATAATTAAAGGAAGAGCACTAAGGTGAAAGCAAAATAAAAAGGGTATTGTTAGGGTCTCGGGCCCTCATATATAAATCCAAGTATTGCCATAATTAAAGTATGAATGTAGAGTGTTGCTGCAATACTATTATACTCTAAGACTGAAAAGGCTATCAACAATCCTGAAGATAGGTATTAGTTTCTTTCAAAAATTCTCATATCAATTATACTTAATTTTATTAACTTCGAAAAACAAACTAGTGATATCGTTCTGATTACTACTGTCAGTCAAAATTCAATCTTTTCTAATCACTGAATCACGGGGTTTTGGGGTTTTGGGGTTTTGGGG